ATCATATTGATTGACCTACTTGTGCAGATTTGTCAGAGTAATTGCACGAAAGCTAATGTTGGTGTACACACACAAATGATGTATGTATACAGACACCTTTTGTTCTTAGACACAACTAATATCAGAGTTAAGTAGTCTGTGCACACATATAAAAATGTTACACACAACATTGATTGACGTACTTTTTTTTGCAGGAATGTCAGGGTGGTTGAACGAGAACCAATGTCTGTGTAAATAGACATTACTTGTTAGTTGTCTGTGTAGATAAAATATGTTTGTAAATATACAAATTTTGTCTGTGTACATAGACATTTGTTCTAGCCAGTGTTCTAAAAGGCGTTAGGCATTAGTTGGGTGCCAGGCGCCAGCCCAGCGCCTAGGCGTCTAGGCGGCTAGGCGGGCGCCTAGTCGGGGACTAATCGAAGACATAGAAATTGCATTTTAACTATACTTTTGCATAAATATGATAAGTAATGTTGTTTTCTTTTATGTATGAAATACATATATACACATACATTAATAAACATGAATGACAAAATTATCACATTTAATCATACGTAGTATACGATAACTAATCACTTAACATCATTATGCTATAAATATAAATAATTATAAAATTTAGGTATATATACAAACACATAGTCTTTATCTAAATTATAACTTCATTTCATTATATCCAGGGCTAAAGTTAAAGTACTTATATCGCTTAGAAATTAAAACTATAAAGTAAAGTAATGTTCGACGAATCTAGACGACCTAGGTGGCCGATTAGGCATTCTGGGCGGATAACTAAGCGCCATAAGCGGCCGACTAATTCACCTAGATGACAAATCAATTAGTCGGAGCGCCTAGGCGAAAATCGGGGGGCCCGGCGAGCGTCTAGCGCCTAGACAGGGACTAGTCGAATGCCTAGAATGATTTTTAGAACAGAGGTTCCAGCGTAACCTAACCCACTCTTTGTATAACATTTTTGTCTTTCTACACAGACCATCAAACACTGCAAGAAAACCAGTGTCTGTATAAAAGTACATATGTTGTCTATGGCGAAATTTTATAAAATATTACTACCTCCGTCCCCCTAAGTTTGGGACAAGAGAAGGTGACACAGTTATTAATAAAAGTAGGTTTATGTGGTTGATAGTGAATTGATAAAGTAAGAATAAAGTAGAAATGATTTAGAATCACACAAATTTTACCAAATAAAGTATGAGACAATTTTAGTGGGACGGACCGAAAAGGTAAAATGGGACAATCATAGCGGGACGGAGGGAGTACTAGTTTTTGAGTTTCATCTTTCATTACAGACTATTTATATATCACACATACAAAAATTCCAAAGGTTCTAATTTTCGAGTGACTTCCTGGCGAATTTCCGATTATTTTCAAACAAAATGAAAACAATGAAGATGATGGTGATGATGATGATAAGAGATGATAGTAAAGATGTAGTATGAATAAAAGATAAAAAAAAGAAAAAAGAGAAGGAAAGTGTAAGAAGAAGATGATGGGAAATAAGAAAGAATGAGAGAGAGAAGGAAAGATAAAAGAAAGAAGGGGGGGTGGGTTTGTTCCTGTATAGAAGATGAGAGGGAGGGGAGGGTAAAAAATAGAAATTCTTTAAATATGGTGTATCCCTGAATGTAAACCAGAGTGTACCTCTATCATTTTTGTTACTCCAAAGTATTTAGTATGACACAGACAACATTTTATGGATGATACAAACAAAAGTTCAGGCTCATGTTCATCTATGATTTTCCGGCGATTTTCCAAGCGACTCATGAATTTCATTTTAGTTTTTTCTGTGACATTTCTTGATGATTATAACTCCCGCGAGGCGGCAATGATGAAGTAGATAAGAAAGAAAATGGGACGAAGATGGAAGATGATGAAGATGGAAGATGATTTAAGAAATATGGAGAGTGACTAAAAAATGAAGATGAATATGACGAAATGGTGAAAGATAAAGATGGAAAAAATGTATTTTTTTTATGATATGGAAAAAATGTTATGAACTAAACAAGACGGAGAGAGATTTGGAATAAAAAATGATATATACGAGGATGTAGCAAACTACCAATAGCAAAATTCAAGAAAAAGTTAAAGAACAGATTAATTCTTTCATAAAAAGTGAAAGAAGAGATCGTTTTCTTTAATTTCTTTCGCCATTTGGTTTCCCTACCCACCCGGTTAAATATCAAGCCGTTGGACTGCCCAATTACCAAAGCAATTGACGCCGCGTGTTTCGAAATGCAAGGGAGCCAGCCGAATTCACACTTTCAATTCAATGCATGCCCTTCTCTTTTCTTTTCAGATCTCACATTTTCATACCCATCCATCTCTCTTTTCAGAAAGCAGATTAAAACATTCAATTCTGTATATGATATATGAATGCACTTCCCAGCGACGAATGACTCTTTAGAAGTTGACCACAAGTGTTAATACTATTGGGAGCTTAGTTTTATATACTTTGCTAGATGTGTGGGTTGGTTTGAATTGCGATGATGGTGGCGGATGAGAGTGCTAATCATCGGTCACTGGAGAAATTATCGGAGTACGGTGGTGGAGAAACAGCAACCTCGGATGTTCCGGGTGACATAGGTTTTGATATGGAAATGCTTTGGAGCTCGGTTCCGGAGGAAGATTCTGAATTAGCATAGGTATGCTTACTTTGCCTCCTTAGTAAGTTTGATCATTGCTTTTGTTCCGTGTCTATATCGCATTTGAAGTATTCTTGGCACATAAAGAGTAAGAATAGATTCAATCTGTAGGGTCTATTTTTGTTCTTTCTTGTCATGCAATTCACTCAACTTTATCTTTGCACGAGTATTTTGTCACCCAAGGTGCTCAACTCGCGTATTTTGTCACCCAAGGTGTTATTAAAACAGAACTGCTGGCTGATCTATTTTTAACTCTTTTCATGAGTTATCTTAAATTAAATCCAATGTAGCGACTGATGAATTGTGCAGGTTTCACTATATGATGAATTATGCAGGTTCCATAAAAGCCAAATTATCCATGAACAAAGCTTTCACTTAATCCAAATCCATCAATATTCATATTACGTCTTACTTGCAGAGATGATTAAGCCATGATATAATGATATTGTAGTGGGCATATTTGCCAACAGATATTAAACCATTAATAAATAGGATAAGTCCATTGTGTCCGGTAGATTAAGATGAACTTATAAGGTGTGACTCAATAAGATAACACCGGATGGATTGCAGGATCACTACTCATCCTTATGATACAATTAGATGTGATCCATTATTATTAACTTTTTAATGGATGTGTCATATATTCATATCGATTTACATTTGGATGGGCTGGATTGATGGTAGACAAATAGACTCTTTTGCCACCCACTTTTTCTTATAATAGCAGTTAGCTGCTTTACTCTGCCCCTTTTTTCTGTTGTGCGATAGCTTGTATTATTCTCTGGTTGCTGCATCTTTTATTATTGAATATCTGAATTTTAATTTCAGGCTGTGCCACAGGACCCGTCACAGAATTTCATGCAACATGGTATGTCAGCTGCAGTATATCTAAGTTCCTCCATTATTCCATTTTCCTCTTGTAGTGTGTATGTTATGCATGGCTTTGTCGTTGGTGTGGTCTTCATTTTGACCCTTTTGATCATTGCTGTTGTGGATAATCCACATTGCTCGATAGAGAGATCTGTAATCTTAAGCTCCCCGGTGCACAGTTGCAATGGGAAACTGACTGAGTGCATACCGATTCTAGGCCATGATCAGTTCAGTTTAGATAAGAATACAGCTTCTCATGGTGCTACATCTTAGACCCATAATGACAGTAAGGAACCCTTTTGTGGGATATTACATTTTCAAGTACTCCAAATCACATCGGTGATAATCCTAATAAGTCAATAGCTTAGATTCTAATTCAATATGTGTCAAAATAGATTATATCTTTAGGCTTGCTGATTTTAAAGTGTATGTTGAATTGTTTGAATCTCTCGGGGCTTCTCTCATTCATTACTCTCTTCATAAATAGTGATGGTTCATGTTTGGCTGTATTTACTTTTTATGGAAAGATAGGTGACTCAGTTTTTACTCTGTTATTTTAGGGTTTTCTCATGGCTACATGATAGCTGAAAGTAACTTCAAAGCATCAATAACTTCTAATATACTGGAATTTGGAATGCCCCTTTTTGATGGACTTCATTCTCAGTTCAGTTCGATGCAGTATTATGATTCTCTAGATGATATGTTCATGTCTTCATACATATTGTCAACAGACAGCCCACCCTTCTCTTTTCCTAGTGAGCTGAATTTTGATATTGGGTCTTGCTATGGTGATCATTCGCTCAATGTAAAAAGTGAAGAATGTCAGCCATCAACTTGTTATGCTAACTTAGACAGCATTCTTGATGATGAAGAATTGAGTCAGAGAACATATGACGTGCCTCAAGATGGTGCATACTTAAGTACGAGAAGAGAGACTGATTGTAAGCCAGCCTCTCATTCTTGGACAGACACTCCATATTTGTGCTCCGCAAAGCAGGAAGTATGTGCAGAGGACAGAACAGATTCTAGCATTGACATGAAACCATTTAATAAGGATGGTGCTGTCACTTTAAATGAACCCCCAAATCCATCTTGTTTGCTTCTGCTACCTTCCCACGCAGAACACACTTGGTTTATAGAAAGGATGACTGTGAAGGCACATCACATGAATCTGGGGATCCTGACAATTATTCTGATATGTTTCATACCTCTACTACGGAAAAGCCCCATCTGTATAATAATGATCGCACTCTGAGTGGTCATATTGGAGACAGATGTGATCCGGTTCCATCAACATTAAATAAACAGGAGTTAGAATGTGCTAAACCAGAGAACATGCATGGTTTGCAAAAATCTACCAACTCGTGTTCGTTACCAACCACCTACCAATCAGCTCAAAGCTCATTTTCTCAAAGAACTTCTGCTGCTAGTGATGATGGCAATAACTGCATTCAAGAGGATGCAAGTGGATCAACCAGACCAATTTCAAGTGTGTCTAATGGCAAGTCTCATGTTAACATGCATTATCCTACAATTAGCGAAGCTACAACTCATGCCAGAGTAGGACACAAGAGGTTCAAGCCAAATAAGGAGCAATTTGTTTTTCGAACTGCCTTACTGGTACGTATTCCTGTAATCATGTTTTAACTCTCTGATTCTCTTATACTTTTTTAGTTGCATTCACGATAAGGTGCAAATGAAGGAATGAAGGATCCATTTTTGAAAAATGTCATTTGGATGTTAGGACATTTTAGTGCACAGGAATCCATTTTAAGCTGAACCATATAGTTAATGACTTCATGTATGGATGCATATCATTGCACAATGAAATGCTGCCTTCTAACCATCATGCTTGAGCTGTGCATAAGCTGTACTCCCTCTCTCCCCAAATTAGCTTCCCGTGTGCTTTTGAGTTTTGACAGGCTTCTTAAGAAGATTGAATTACGTGGTTTTAAGATTGAAATGATAGAAACATTATCAATTACACATTTTTTCTTTCCTTAAGTACTTGGGTAGATAATTCTGGGGTGGATGAAATAGGAAAGTGAGAGTAGTGAAATGTTCATTGAGGGACAGATGCAGTACCCCGTTTTATTTTTGCCTTTGTAGTAGCTTGGGCTAGCTGCATTCTATTTTACTTGAACATCTGTCTACATCTTGTGCAGGACCTCTCCCAGCCAAGATCTGAAGATGAACCCTCAGATGGTGTTCTGGCTGTTCCTCTTTTGCGACACCAGGTTCAATGACTTTATTTTAGTTGCATGGTGATAATAATTGTCAAAAAGCTGTGTTTCTCAACTCTAAGCCTTTTCCATACTAAAGCACTGGCTTTGCTCCTTTAAACCATGCATGAGATGTTTAAACAAGTTGTGGTTGTGAGAAAGCCAACCATTCATTATGTAATACTCTTGTATTAAACCTGCAGAAAATGAAATGCTATTTGGTTGACAGTCATATGAGAAAATGCAGCCAAGATAACATGTTCAATTGTCAACCAAATGGCACATATCCAGCTAGACAATAGTCAAATTCATATTCAGTAGAAAATAAGATAAAAGATACCTCTATTTTCTGCAACTTCCAATTCATTCTAACATACATTCATGTTCATCATCTTTTTCATTCTTGTTGCTGCAAGAATTGTCCCAATTCAATTGATGTATCCAGTGCAGCAAAGTGCTCTTGTTTCTCATGCTTTGTTTGTTCACTGTCTGCATTTTTCACTATAATTCATGAATTTTTAGTTTTAACTATGTTTGAATAATAAATTGATACTGTAATAGGTTAGAAGCACAGAAAAAATGACACTACTCATTTCGTGCAATATAGTTGGGATTAAGGTGGTGGCGGTGATGATGATCTGCTAATCAAACAGCTACCATTAGAAAAGTCTTCATCTATACATACAACTATGAAGTTGTATGACTATAATCTGTATAAGAGGAACTTAGCAGTCCTAGATTCCTAGTTCTGATGCTGCCGCATGCATATCTTATTTCTGTATATTTTATTTGCTCCATAGGCTGCTCTTTCTCTATTAACTGTTGTTTCTTCTTCCCTAAATAGATAATTGGGAATGATGTCTCCACTTTGTTCTTGACATTGTATGCTGAATGTAATTTTGAAATTTTAAATGTTCATGCTATGAGCAGCGGATTGCTCTATCATGGATGGTCAAGAGAGAAACCAACCCACGCTGTTCTGGTGGGATTCTTGCAGATGATCAGGTGTCTTTTGGGGGATTCACTTCCCATATGCTGTCCATCAAATTGTTGAAATACTACGTATGACATAGAGCTCTATTAAATATTTTGTTATTTTTAGGGGCTTGGTAAAACTATATCAACTATTGCTCTTATACTCAAAGAAAGGTCTCCATCTCTTCGGGCCTCTGCTGCCATTAAAAAACCAACTGAGGCGGAGACTCTGAATTTGGATGATGATGATGATGTTACTACAAGTTCTTCTGAGGCTACTATGTCAATTAAAAACCCATGTGTAGTGAACACACGCTCTGCCCCAGTTGCTAAACCATCTATACATACAAAAGGTAGGGCAGCTGCTGGCACCCTTATTGTATGCCCAACAAGTGTCCTGCGGCAATGGTCTGATGAGTTGCATCATAAGGTAGCTGACGTAGCTAATCTTACGGTTCTAGTATACCATGGATGCAATAGAACAAAGGACCCCTTTGAACTAGCAAACTATGATGTTGTTCTTACAACATATTCAATTGTTAGCATGGAAGTTCCTAAGCAACCTCTTGATGATGAGGATGATGAAGACAGACGAAAGCATACCCCAGACTCAATACATGGTTCTTCATCTTTTAAAAAGAGGAAAAGCCCTCAAAGTTCTGAAAAAAATCATCAAAGGGCAAGAAAGGAACAGATGGTGAGTTGATTGATAATCTTGCTCGCCCCCTTGGCCGAGTTGCTTGGTTTAGGGTTGTATTAGACGAGGCTCAAAGCATAAAAAATTATAAAACTCAAGTGGCAAGAGCTTGTTGGGGTCTACGGGCTAAACGTCGGTGGTGTCTATCCGGTACACCCATTCAGAATGCAATTGATGACCTTTACAGCTACTTCAGATTTCTTAGATTTGAGCCATATTCTTCATATAAACAATTTTGCTCTTCACTCAAAGTGCCCATTTAAAGAAATCCATCAAGGGGGTACATAAAACTTCAAACGGTTCTTAAAACTGTGATGCTACGTCGAACTAAAGGTAAACATGGATATGTTTTTATTATTCATCAAACTTCTGAGATGTTTCTTGATACTGAATTGTATTGGAACTGTTTCGAAATTGTTTATTGTCCTGGATATCTTTCAATGTACCTTCTTTGATGGCTTAAGTTTCTACCCGCCTATCTTTGGTTGTTAGAAGAATCTTGGTACAGTGGTACATGGGTCCGAGTCGCGGGAATAGTTTCAGCCTCTCAGGTAAGGCTGTGTATGTTAATGTCCCAGGCCTTCTGACCCTGCACATGCGGGAGCTCTTTTGCCACATTGCCTTCAAAAAATAATTGTGTACTTCCCATAAAAACTTAAATTTGTACTCACGGTTTTTTGTCAATGGATTTTAATTGCATCCCTCTTTAATTGGTAGTGAAGGTGCTTACAAAATTAACATGAGATTTAAGAAGGGAAATTATGGAAATATTTAATTCATTTTTGGGTACAGTTTCTTAAATCCATTTCATTGCTCTCAATTATTTTTTGGATCAGTGAACTATGAACGAGTATATATTTACAATTTACCCTTATTTGTCTTCCTTTGACTATGTACTTGACAACTAAGTGTCTTACCATGACAAATTACAATCTCTGTGACTATATTCATCTTTCAAACAATGGAACTCTCTTACTTTCTCATATAAAAATAAATGGTTAATTTGTTAGATTGGCCTTTATATAGTCTTCTTTTCTTTCATCATGGATCAATCTATTTCGATGCCAGTATATAACACTGATTTTGAATAATGTGCCATCTACATCTTCCTTTTTGAGGGGAAGAGGTTTCACTATATTCTAACAGCAGGGTTTGCATGCTGTATAAGTTGTATATGCTGTTAGTCTCCAGTATGATGCTTGAGTGTGATGTAAATAATGTGTTGATAATAATGCAATATCTTATACAGGAACATATATTGATGGAGAACCAGTTATCATTCTTCCGCCTAAGAGAATAAAGTTGAAAAAGGTTGAATTTACACAATGGGAGAGGGATTTTTATTGCAGACTTGAGGCTGATTCACGTGCACAATTTGCAGTATGTTAATATAATCTCCTATGTTGTATTTACATATTGCTGATGCTTCTGCGTCTCCGTCAAGCTTGTGACCACCCTCATCTTGTTGAGAGATCCAATAAGAGTTCAGTTTGGAGAACCTCACTTGAAATGGTGAAGAAACTATCCCAAGAGAAACGATATTCACTTCTGACTTGTTTGGAGGCTTCTTTAGCAATTTGCAGCATATGCAGTGTAAGTGATCATATACATTTCTTTCATTCATTTTTTGCTCTCTTTTTAAATTTCATAGTTCTATTATGAGGAATTTGGTAGGACTGATAGGTTATCTCTAGCCCCTTCTTCTTCTGAACAATGGTTTTTTTAAGCGAGAGTATTAAAAGCATGACACTACTGCTATATTTGTAAGATGTGTAGAATTTGGGCTCTGTCTGCTAGTGTGCTGGAGTGATGGTATCATTGAACTTGCGATCTTGAAATCTTTTCGAGAGTTTTTTGCATTTGGTATGCCTATTTTATTTGAACAACGATGATTCAATAGAAGGGGGGAGCCTTGGTGCACCAGTTACGGTGTTGCCATGTGATTGAGACTTGAGAGGTCACGAGCTCAAGTCTTGGGAGTGGCCTCTTGTCAAAATGACTAGGGAAGGTTTGCCCCTATACACCGTTGTGGTGGGACCCTTTCCCAAACCCTCGCCTTGCGGGGATTCCAATGTGCACAGGGCTGCCTTTTCTAATGGTGATATAATAGGAACTGACATCACATTTCTATATTCTTTCCCTGTTAACTTCATGGAAAACAAAATCTAAAATAAAATAAAATTGTTTGAATAATAATGTATGTTGATGAAAACTGCACCTGACAATCATATAGGATCCACCCAAAGATGCGGTTGTGACAGTCTGTGGACATGTCTTTTGCAACCAGTGCATTTGTGAGCATTTGACCGGTGACAACACTCATTGTCCTACAACGGATTGCAAAACTGAACTGAGTGTTTCTTCACTACTCTCCAAAACTATGTTAATGGGTTCTGCATCTGACCAGCACAATCATTCAAACAGTACTACTGATAACTCTGACTCAGATCCAGGCCAAACACCCCAGCTTTATTCTTTTGGCTGCTCATATGATTCATTGAAAATTAAGGCTGTTCTTGGTGTTCTCCGGTCTTTATCTAAAGCACAGGATTGCCCCACCATGCTCAACTCCCCTGATCATGATGAAGATGAAGGGAGTCAGAATCAAACAAGTAAAATAGTTGGGGAGAAAGCGCTTGTGTTTTCCCAGTGGACAGGAATGTTAGATTTGCTTGAAGATTGTCTGAAAAGGTCATCTATCCAGTACAGGAGGCTGGATGGAACTATGTCTGTTGTTGCTAGAGATAAAGCTGTAAAAGATTTTAAAACTGTTCCAGAGGTTTGTTTGTGCATTTTCCTTCATCTTCTTGTGAAGGATATAGTTATATCCTTTTGCTCTTCTGTGAAGGAGGCTAAGAGCCTCTTCATCAGGGCGGGCCCCTTTCATTTAAGCAATCAAAGTGTTTTCTTTTCTCTGAAAAGAATCAATCTTTTGCTTTCTTAAACGGGGAATTTAGCATGGGGTTTTAGTGTTTTACACTTTTACTGTTAAAATCATATTCTTTTGTCATTATCCTGCCAACTGAGTTTCCTTATTCCTTGAAAATATGTCATATTTAAAGAATTATAAGAGTGAAAACTGAATAATTTAAGCAGGTTTCTGTGATGATTATGTCTCTAAAAGCAGCAAGCCTGGGACTGAACATGGTTGCCGCCTGCCACGTCATCCTCCTGGACCTGTGGTGGAACCCAACAACTGAAGATCAAACCATTGACAGAGCACATAGGATCAGACAGAGTCGTTCTGTCACAGTTTTGCGGTTGACTGTAAAGGATACTGTTGAAGACCGTATTTTGGCTCTTCAGGTATGTCCTTACAATTTCTTAGGGTTAGTTTGGATGGATAATTTTCTTAGAGAGCTAGGTCAGCTAGCCTATTTAATTCTATCATGATATAAAGAGAATGTTACAATAAATGAATAAAATGTCCTTAAAATTTTATACGAACCGATATTCTGATACACAAGATAGACTAACTGGCTAAGCCTTTCCCACCAAAATAGTCCACCCAAAAAGATGCTCAGGTTCTGTTTTAATGGAAGGATGAGTTTATATAATCTATTATGTTATTATTTATATAGAAAAATCTTATATATATATATATATATATATATATATATTCATATATTTATAATATATGTATGCATGCATGGTTTGTATGAGGTGAGAGTACAATTCAAGTAAGGGGTGCCCCTTAGTAATGCGGCCAGACAAACTTCAGTCTTGGCCTGAAAACCTTAAACCAGTTAAGATTAATTTGTCACTAGACATGGACTTCCTTTTGTATATGTTATGTGAAATAGAATCATTGAAATGATATATATATATATATATATATATATATATATATAGAGAGAGAGAGAGAGAGAGAGAGAGAGAAATTCACCTCCTGAATTTTGGAGGAGAACTGCCGTCTCGACGCCGCGATTTGAGGCGGTTCTGGTGAATTATTTTGATGAATGTTTTTTGAACATATTCCTCATTTAGTGTTGATTATGTCCACAAAATTCAATCGAGAAGTCAGTTGAATAAATTATTGAAAAATACTGCGTTCTATTTACATAGTATATATTTGGCACAGTGTTTTTCAATAATTTTTTTTAACTGACTTCCCGATCAAATTTTCAGCTGAAATTTTGTAGACATAACCTACACACTTCATGTACAACATGCTCACGCAATTTCATCAAAAAAATCCACTGGGAACCGCCTTAAATCGTGGTGGCAGACGGCGATTCTAGTCAAGAAGTCCTGACCGGAATATTACTCTCTCTATATATATGGAGTATATAATTGTACTTAAGTTTTCCTGTCAGGAATTTCCTGACCGAAACGATGTTCGGCCACCTCAATTTGAGTTGTTTCTGGGCGAATTTTTTTGATGAAATTTTACGAGCATGTTCTTCATGAAGTGTAGATTATGTCCACAAAATTTCAGCTTAAAATTCAATCGGAAAGTCAGTTAAATAAAATATTGAAATTTTATTTAATTACTTCTCGTTTGAATTCTAAACTGAAATTTTGTGGATTTAATATACTTACAAAATTTCATCAAAAAATTCTACTTGGTAGCATATCAAATGAAGGTGGATTTAATTGTGGATTTAGGATGTTTTTACTTGGACTGTAATTTGTCCTAGACCAGTCCAGACCAGACCAGTTCAGACCAGGCCAGACCAGACTTGGAATAGTTATAAAAATACAAAGAAACCAGACCTTACCAGACCGGACCAGACCAGTTCAGACCAGACCAGACCAGCAAATTACAGTCCAAGTAAAAACATCCTTAGCCCTACAAGGTGGATTTAAACTGGTTCCCATAGATGGGGGTGGATGTTGTAGGCCCATGCATGGATTCAATGTTTTGTTTTTCATCTCAGGAAAAGAAGAGGAAAATGGTTGCGTCTGCATTTGGGAAGGATAAGAATGGCAGTCAAGAGACCCGTCTAACTGTGGAGGATTTGGAATACTTATTTTGTCACTAATCCTCCCCGCTCCGAACTGGGTTTTTAACATTCAAACTTCTTTATTCATCTCATTTGATCCTCTAACACCATTTCATTTCTACAACTACGTATATATAATTATATAAGTGGAAGGTAGCAGGTAGATATTCTGCTTGGTCTGTACCCAAGGACTAACACATTCTTATCCTTCTAACCGTTTTTCGTCATCATTCATCCCTGCATAGGAGGAGTTGATTCTTCCAGCAATTATAGATCAGAGATGGGGAATGGAAGTTTTGCAGAAAACAGTTTAAGTTGTAGATCCTGATGTGTATATGTTTAGTCTTTTCCTTAGTAGGCTCTAACCCAGAGGGTCCACATATTTTGTGTAAATTCTTAATTGTGATTGTGGGAACACCCACGGGCCACGGATATGATGCTCATTAATACGTAGTAACATTTATTATTATTACTATGATAATCATAATTATAATTATTGTGGTGGTTGTAATCATTATCATTAGGCAAAATTCATAAGAATAATACACAATTTCAAGGCCTTCTAAAGTAATCCGAGCTGATAATGTCATAATGATGTTCTCAAGAATAAATTGAGGTGAATTTAAAGTTGTGTTCGTCTCAATTCATACTCTCACTTTCTCTTTCCCCGCTCTTTTTCTTGGGGTGAATTCAACTAATATCCATATAATCTCACCGTTATTTTCATCTTATGTGATTTTATAAATTAGAAGTTAGAAGTGACAGTTAAGATGAAGAATAGAGGAAAGTGGTGGATTTGTTTGAATGGGAAAGCAGGGTAGAGGTTGGAGAAGTATTAAGCATGTATTAATTTAAATTTACTCCAATTAATTCTTGTGAGCACGGTTACTAGTTTAGTTTATTTTTATGAACATTCTTTGTATGGATTGTTATTGTAGAACCACAAATAGTAGAGGTTATTCGAAATTGAGGATTTAAAGTATCTTGAGCATATTCTTTTAAAGCAAGACTTTCAGAAAAATAAAAGACAAATTTTCTTCAACAATCAAATGAGACATACCAGTCAAATGAGAAATTACCGAAGGGTTGGCCAGTCGCAAACCTTGAAATTTGTGTTTGCTTTCCCTTGCCTTTGGCCGATTTCTCATATTCCGCCAGGTGCTTGGCCTTAAGATGCCTTGTGGTGCTCCCGTACCCTCCAGAAGTTCCCAAGTTATACTTTTTTGGGCAATGCTTGCAAGTGGCGTACCATATCTCGGTTGCGGGGTCTTTAAATTTTGTAAAATTTAACTTAAAGACAGATTTACCTTTCTCACCGCCTTGGGAAGAAATAGCCACTTCCGCTTGCTCTTCATCATCGTCCGGTGTGCCATCACTGCCATGAACCTCGTGCTCGCCGGTTTGCGGATCCCTCTCCTCCGCATCATCATCCTCAAGCTCTTCTTCGTCAATGGTCGGGATGTGTTGTTGATGGAAAAAGGCCCCTTGATTTTGTTGCAATAGTTGTTGTAATTGCTCATCGGACATTGCATCCCCATATGTTTGGTTATAATCCACATCAAAATCATCTCGGGTTTGAGATGAAGACCCGGCCCGTCCTTTACCTTTGCATGAGATTGGATGATTCCTCGCAATCTCCTTTGTTCGGTTGCGGCGGAGGTTACCCATATCTACAGAAGCTCTAGCACGTTCCATCTAAAAAATATAACAAATATTAAATTCGAAGTACAATTAAACTAGTGAATTTGAAATACAAATCTAACAATTCGAAATACAATTAAATTCGAAGTATGCAACTACAATGTAATAAAATTAACTAGAATGTAACAATTAAATTTGAACTATGCAACTACTTTGTTAACAAATAATTAAATTAACAAGTTTAATTAGAATGTAGAATTTAAATATGCAACGACAATGTAATAAAATTAACTAGAATCAAATTAAATTAACAAGTTTAAGAAATAATTAAATTAACAAGTTAACAAATAATTAAATTCGAACAATTAAATTAACTAGAATGTAACAATGCAATAAAATTCGAACTATTTGTTAACAAATAATAAATAAATAAAAATTTAACAAGTTTAACTACTTTTATTATAAAATTCGAACAACTTTAATATAATTAAAAATTAAGTAGTTTTATAGGAGAATAATAAATGTAACAATTAACTAGTTTTATAGGAGAATAATAAATGTAACAATGCAATAAAATTTATAGGAGAATAATAAATGTAACAATTAACTAGTTTTATAGGAGAATAAGAAATGTAACAATTAACTAGTATTATAGGAGAATAATAAATGTAACAATTAACTAGTTTTATAGGAGAATAATAAATGTAACAATTAACTAGTATTATAGGAGATTAAGAAATGTAACAATTAACTATTTTAACAAGTAAACAATTAATTTCGAATTATTGTCTAATAATTTTTAATGTAACTATTTCAAATAAACTAACAACTAAAAATTAACTACTTTTATAGCAATGAACTAATACTAAAATGATAAGTAAAAAAATTAACTACTTTTATATTAATAAAGAATGTATGAGTGTGTAAACAAAGTTAATGGGAGTGTGAGAGTGTATAAGCAATTGGATAAGTAGATAATAAGTGTATTTATAAGTAGATATAATTAATATATATATTTATAAGTAGATAATCAGTAGATTAACTAGTAATATAATATTATGTTTATAGTATATATAATATAAGTATATTACTATAAGATGAGTAATACACTTATATATAATACTTTAATATATATAAGTATATATTAAGTATATGTAATATGTAAATATAAGTAAACAAAATTAATTAGAGTGTGAGAGTGTATAAGCAATTGGATAAGTAGATAATAAGTGTTTAAGTAGATATACTTAATATATATATATATATATATATATATATATATATATATTTATAAGTAGATAATAAGTAGATTAACTAGTAATATATAATATTATGTTTATAGTATATATAATATAAGTATATTACTATAAGATGAGTAATACACTTATATATAATACTTTAATATATATAAGTATATATTAAGTATATGTAATATGTAAATATAAGTAAATAAATTAGAGATAATTATATATGTAATAAGTAAATATAAGTAAATAAATATAAGTAACAATAATATAATAATTAGATATTAATATAAATAGATAATAAGTAGATAATAAATTTTATAAATATAATATATGTAGTTAGAAATTTGAGAAGATGAAGATGTAGAAGATTAGTAGAGAATAGAGATTAGAGAGTAGGAATATTTGGAGAAGATGTGTAGTAAGTTGTATAGAAAAAATGGAGTATTTATAGATTTTTAGTAACCCCACCCCCACCCCACCTCGGGACTCCCTGCCAGGCTCCCAACGGCTATAGAGCCGTTTGGGTTCAAATGCAACGGCTCTAAGGCCCTGTTTGGCTGCCAAACAATTTTTTTTTAAAACTATCCGTTAGGCCCGGACCGGGCCCGAACCGGCCGGGCCGGGCCGCCTTTTTTGATGAACCGTACCCGAACCGCCCTCCTGCCCCAGGCCGGGTCAAAGCCCGAACCGGTTTTTTGGTACCCGGGCCGGGCCCGCACAGTGGTGGGCCGGGCCGGTTCCGGGCCGGCCCGGTTGAGTCCACCCCTAGTTATTCTTATAAATTTTGCCTTATTTTTATTCTATTACTCCGTATAATTGTTATTATTATTTCAGTGAAAGTATTGTCCGAATGAAGCAGTGCTAAATGGCTGTAATGTAGTTAACTTGTTGCTATAAGAAATTATATTCCAGTAATATACATTTAACGTACCGCACAACTTCTCTACATGAGCCCCTTGGATTAACCACATGGATTATTTAAAAGTGACTGTACCCTTTACATTAATAGTCAATGACTTAGTCTCACCGCTCAAATTAAGTGACTTGTCATGACAAATGAAATCAACGTTCAAGGAAGAGATAATATATGAGGGAGGAATGGAGGATTATTCTCTCAAATGAATAATCGGGAAATTATAACTTTAGAAATGGTCCTTAATAGGACCAAAAAAGTTCTTATAGACCCGTATAAGAGTACCAACTTTTTTACTCTTAAATAGGAGTATTTTTAGTTCTTCTACCTCTTTTGCCCCTATTAATGAATCCGATTAGTCACCTGTCAATATAATGTCCCTCACTATTGACCCAACTGTCTATCTGCTTTCTCGTATATCTCTTCTAGCTACTTCTTCTCCGGAGCGGAACGACGGGTGTTTGACGAAACAGAGCAGATTTCTTACCTTACATTCCAAAAAGTGCAATTTTTTTGGGGTTTCCTGAGATAGTGCAAAACGGAGTTGGCAGGTCCGAATTCAGGTTGTCAGCGGTGAACTCATTTTCGGAGTTCCCAACCTCGAAAATGGAAGCTGCCAAATTCGTATTAAGCTCATTTCGGAGTTGGCAACTCCGAATTAGTAAAGTATATTTTTTTGTATCTTTTTTGTTGCCTTTAATACGGATTATTGGGACTGCATTATCCCAAATGGTGTTTATGCTTATTGGGGCTGCATTATCCCAAATGTTGTTTTCATTTTTGTGTTTTGAAGTTTGTTTTATAATTGTGGTTAGAAATTGTATTTTGTTCAACGTAGTTTAAAATCATACAATATTTGTAATTTAAGTTGAATTTGTGTCTATTCCCGATTTAGATCAAAATATGCGTTTTACGAAAAATTGACCCATTAAAATAAATTAGCACACGTTCTACAAAAGTGACCCATTAAATGTTTTGAGCACAAATAGTAAAAAATTAGTTACATTTACATTAACAAAATAATTTTTTGAACCTAATTCAAATTATAAAACCGTACCCATTAATAATGTGAACCCGGAAAAGATGAATACAAGTATGAACATGTTACAAGAACAAATTTTATTGATTAAAATTACCAACATATTAAATCAATTCCACACTTTTTAATAATAGTTGACCCATTCAGTGTTATGAAGTCCAAAGTAAATACAAATACAGTTTACAATAT